CTCACTCGTCTTTTAAGGTATTCAGACTGCGAACTGGCCTCAAGCACTGTCTTTGGGGTCTTCGAGACCCAAGGGTCGGGGAGGCCGACCTCCTCTGCAGCCGGTGTTGGAGTCCGTAGCTGCACATCAAGCTTCGATATGACATTTTCTGGGTTCAAGGGAACAAGTCCGGCCCCTCGAAAACCTCCCTCAATATTACTCCTTGTCATAGCGGCTGCGTGGGCAGCATAGAAGGCTGGGAAGAACTCGGTCTTCGTAACGTGGGTTATAGAGCATCTAATCAATTGCTCAATTTCTCGACCATAGGCTGTTTTAAGCGGCCCAAAGCATCCGACATCAAGAGGCTGGAGCAGATGAGATGAATGAGGCGGCATACAAAGCGTAATAATGTCGTTCTCTTTACAATATTTCTCAAAGTCGACGGAGTGGTGACTTTCGTGCCCATCGAGGATTAGAAGACGATAGCGACCGGTCGATCGATCCTTTGTGTGCCGGTCAAAGTGCTTGAGCCACTCAAAACCTGTCTCATTGTCGGTCCAGCCATTTTGAGTCGTCGCAATAGCCCAATCGCCCGGGAGGTTGCTTTCCTGATACCAGCTAGCGAGGTGATATTGGCCCGCAACCACGATGAACGGCTGGATCGCCCAGCCTTCCGCATTAATCGCCTGAATGACTGTAACCCATTCCCGGTTTCCAGGCTGGACTGATTTCGGGTTTCCACGCCTATCTATGCCTGTAACGACCATTCCGCTTGCGATGATGCCCATCATAAAGCCGGTCTCATCAAAGTTGTAGATATCGGCTAGGTCGATACCATATTTCGCAATTGTATTCTCCACGAGCTGGAACCAATTGCGAATAATAGTTGGATCTTCGCATTTAGCCCTCTGATAGTCATATTTACGAAAAAAACGCATCTTGAGCTCTAGTTGTCGCCTGATAAAGTTAGAAGCCCAGCGCTTGCCGACGGGTGACGCGTCGCGGTCGGCGAGCAGTCGGTTGGCCATTTCTTCAACACCACGTAGTCGCGGGGGAAACCCTCGCAAATCCAGGTCGAGGATGAACTGAATAATAATCTGCTCTTCTAGATCGGACAGCTTGCGTGATTTGGGGATCCAATCGCGTCGGGATTGAATCCCCTTCTGCCGGCGCCATAGCATCATACGGCCAACTTTGTAGATCTCTGCAGCGCGTCGGAGCTTTAATTTTGGGTCATTTTGAAGGGCCTGAAGTGCAAGAAGGATTCTACCCTCAATATGAGGGTTAGATATATTTTGTGGTTGAGAATTAATTGATTAAATGGAGATAATGTAGGTAGAGGGATTTTTGTTACGCAAGCTTGTTTGTTACGCAAGCTTATTATGTATGTTAATAGCTTTAAGATAAAGTTAAAATTATAACTAATATTATTAATATACTAATAAAAATTATAGAGGATATAGTTAGTATTATAATAAAAGTATTATTTAACTTATTTAATATAGCTTTTAAAGTTATAAATTATATTCTATTTATTAAAAATATAATATAAATATAAAGTTAGTAATATTAAAAAATATTAGATTTAATATAGCTAATTTAATTAAAGTAATAATATTTAATTAAAATTAAAAATTATTATTATATTAATATTATATTTATCTAGCACCCTCTTTTTTATAAGGGGTTTTTCTATTAATCTCACCCTCTATAACTAAAATTAAAATATTAATATATTAAAAAATTATACCTATCTAGCTCTTATTAGATACTTTAAATAATTTAAGCTAGTAATATAAAGAAGGAGTATAGTATAGTTATATAGTATTTATATTTTAATTACTAATAGACTAGACCTCTTAATTATCCAGCTTTAATACTATTAATTATAGATAAAATTATTCTAGCTAGTTTTAATATAAGAAATAATTATAGGTAATTTAGTAAATACCTAGCTATATTAATTTATATCTTAGTTAATTTTAATTATACTTTATATATAATTAATTTAATATAATCTCCAGTTAATTTTTAAGTATTATAATAAAAAGAAAGCTATTAAGTAGAAATTACAAATTATTTTTTTAATTTTATAGCTTTAAAAGAAGATTTACTTTAATAAGAAAGTAATAATTAATTTAATAAGCTTATAGAGAATTTTCTCTAAATAAAAAAAAGTAAGCTATTAAGAATACTTATAAAATACTATTAAGTATAAATAGATACTACTAATTTAGTAGTTAATTATAAAATATTTATAATATTATCTATAAAATAATATAATTATAATATAACTTTATAGATTTTATATAACTTTACTTAATATTATTTATATAATTTTTATAAGAATTAATAAGTAGTAAAACTAATTTAATTATTATATATTAAAAAGTACTTATTTCTTTTTATATCTTCTCTTTATTTATATATTAAAGCTAATAGTTATAAAACTTTATACTTTAAAATCTATTTCTAGCTAAAAATAATAAGGTTATAAATACTTTTATATAGGTATAGTAACTTATTAACCCCCCTATTATAACTACTATATAATTACAATAATAGCTATAAGTAAAATTATAATAAGAAGCTATTATTAAAAATACAATAAAACTTAAAAATTATTTATTATATATTAGATTTATTTTTCTAAACTTAAGAAATAAAGTAAGTTCTTTTTTTAGTTATATTTCTCTACTTACTATAATATTATTATACTTATATATTATAGACTTTCTTATTAACCTAATAATATATATAATCTACTAGTTAAATTGGAATTTTACTATATAATTAACTAAGTAGCTAAAAATAATTCTTAATTTTTATATTATTTAACTTTTAATAACTTATATAATGTATATAATAAGTATATAAGCTAGATAAGTATATAAGCTAAAAATCCCTTACTTTATATTATTACTATTTAATTAATTTATTCTTAACTACTTAATATATTAAAAGAAAATAAAAAAACTAGAATTCTTCTTATACTTTAAGCCCTTTAAAATAACTTAAAACTAAGTATCTAATATACTATAAATATCTATAAAGTTAATTATAATATCTTATATTACTAGTAGAATAATATATAGTTTTAATATAATTAGATTCTAAAGTTATACTAACTATCTAATTTAAAGAAATAAATTATAATTTAGTTTATTCTTAACCTAGATTTATAAAAATTCCCCTTCTAACTATAAGCTATTAAAGAAATAACTAATTAACTACTTACTAACTGTAATATACTACTTATTAGTAAGTACTAAGCTTATAACTTTATTATATAATATTATAAGCTAAAAATGTATTTTTTTTATAAATATAACTATTAGAAAGCTAAATATAAAGATATAACTATTATCTATAATTAATTTTAACTTATAGTAAATATAATTATAAAGTATAATATCTAATTAAATAATATCTGAAACTTTAATAAGACTGGCTTTCTTATAGGTATAATTATAAGTAGAATAATTATTATAAGTTTAAAAAGATATAGATAATTAAAATTAGTATAACCTAGAAGCTAGAAATAAATTATAGTTATTTAAGTAATTAATATAGAAGGCTGGGCAATTTAGCTATTTATTATTAGTATAGGTTAATATTACCTTATTAATTAATATTAAGAAAGTAACCTCCCGGGCAATTAAGTTATTATAATAACTTAAAATAGCTAGACTAATAATAAGATTGATCTTAAGTAGCTAAAGCACTTTAACTAATATATAATTAATTAATTAATTAATTTCTATTATCTTCTAGTTCTTAATAGCTATAAAAATTACCACTTTACTAACTTTAAGAGATATTATAAGAAAAATAAGATTATTACACTTTATATACCGCCTCATTTATCTTATCTACTTTAGCCTCTTAATATCAGGTACTTTAACCTACTTAAGTAAGCTTATAGTCAAAAAATAGAGTATTTAATTAGATACTCTATAACCTACATTTTAAAGACTAAGTTCTTTCCAGCCTTCTACGCTGCATATTAGGCTACTATAACGAAAAGAAATATTAAGATAGCTTTTAGAGGAGCCGGGCTTATTCCTCTTAACCTAAAAAGTATAGTCTTAAAGCTTGATATGCAGCTACAGACTCCAACGCCTACCGAGGAGGTAGCTAGCCCTACGACCCCTTAGGCATTAAAGACTCCAAAGACTGTCCTTAAGGCCCAATCTCAATTTGAATACCTCAATAGACAAATCAGAAGGCATTAAAGTAGCTCCCCAAAGTCAATTTTAAGAGCTCTTAAATTACTTACTAAGAAAACTAAGGCAATAATATATAAGAATGCCTTATTGAGGTCTAAGAACAAAGACCTTTGAGAGGTAAATAAGATATTAAGCCGGCGCCGGAGGGCAAAAAGGACTAGACTATAGAAAAGAGGGGTAATGACAGTAGAAGAAGGAAGGCAAGCAATTGATTAAATGGATGTAGATGCGCAGGTATTAGCCAAATTGTCGAGGAGTGGTGGTTAAGGAAGGTCGGCGCGACCGGGGGTTCGGCGGTGTGGTGTCTGCGGCAAGCCCGGTCATAATGCAAGGACCTGTCAGGTAGTGATTGAGACGTCTGGAGAAGAGTATAGTAACTAGTTTTAATTGATTAATTGCTTTATTGTGTTTTTAGAGTGATTTTAACTTGAGAGAATTGATAATAGTGGCTCACATACTTGTCTGGCTTACATACTTATTATGTACGTTATATAAAAATTAATATATTATCAAAGCGTAGCGGCCAAGCCTATCCAATAGGGTCCGCAACAGCAAGTTAAACCTGTAAGAGAGAGTAGGTACACTGCAAATACGGTATGTGAATTGCTAAGTACGTGGAATCATAAAATCTTTTAGCAAATACACCATCTCTATAGCATAATACTCTGTCGGTCCTTAGTATAAGACAGGAACGAGATGGCTTGACAATGGTGATTCTCTTGTCACCACGCTCTCACAAACAACTTAGCATCTCCTACCACTTACACTACTCCCCGTTTGATCCAATACACAATGTCTGCACCCAAGGTCTTCTTCATCACCGGCGCCAACCAAGGCATTAGCAAGGGCTTTACAAGAAGCTCCTCCTGCAACCCGGAGTCACCGTCGTAGCCACGGCCAGAGACCCCGCAAAGGCGGCTTCGCTCAACTCGCTGCCCAAGAGCAAGGGAAGCAAGCTTATCATCCTCAAACTCGACTCCCAGGTCGATGCTGACCCCGCCGCGGCCGTTACGCAGCTCCAGAAGGATCACAGCATCAAGTCCCTCGACGTCGTCATTGCCAACGCCGGCATCGCCCACTCAGGCACCACCGTCTCCAAGACGACCCCCAAATCACTCCGAGACCACTTCAACACTAACTCCATCGGCCCTATAATGCTATTCCGGGCCGTCTCCCCCCTGCTCCAGGCCAGCTCGACCGGCAACCCCATCTTCTTCCCCATCTCGACCCTGATCGGCAGCATCGGCAGCCAGGAGGCACTCGCCGCCTTCCCGCAGACCTTCAGCCCTTACAGCACCAGCAAGACGGCCCTCAACTAGCTCGTCTCCCGCCTTCACTTTGAGGAGCCCTGGCTCACCACCTACGCGGTGCACCCCGGGTTGGTTCTGACCGACATGGCCCCCTCATTCATTCCTCCCGGTCTTGACCCAGCCTCTATCGGCGCCATCGACGTCGATACTAGTGTTACTGGTCTCCTGAAGCTGGTTGATACTGCTACCCGGGCCGAATTTGGCGGAAAGTTCAAGAACTATAACAGCAACTCGCTTCCGTGGTAATTGCCTAGCACGCAATCGGGTAGTGAAAGACGGGGAAAGCGTAGGATAGGCATCTTAGATAATTGAATGGACAGATTTCAATTCAGATAAGCCTAAAAGGTTATCATGCCGCGCTACCCAACTTTATATTAGGAAGCATATGAATACCTACTTCCACTCTCCTGCGATGCCTTTTGCTCGGGTGCTACTAGACAGTCGCAGTCGGAACGATCCGATCATCTAACAAGTCATCTCTAAAGCGCTTTGCCGTGGTGCTGCAAGGTACACTTTTCTGGTGACCGACAGGATGTCAGAGTTGTCGATAATCTACGCGGCTTTGGACCCTCTGTCTGGTGAGCCCAGCGCTACAGACCAGATGACTTGTTCGCCCAGTATTACCACTGTGCTATGTGTTCTGCCTGGATGTTCAGATCTATACATCCTTTACAGTCCTGTTATTTCATTGCTCCTTAGCTGACTATAGTGAGTAAGCCTATAATATTCAACGTCATATTATATCCAGCCTGGGCAGACAACTAGGTTCTTTAAGATAGTCATATTGTGTATACCGTATTATCTTACGAAACCCGGACGATCTCTAATGCGAATTGCTGGACGGCGCCCCGTCTTTTACACATTACGACGCGTAGGTGGAATCTTTTCGCCTTTATTGTTGGCTGCTCATCAGGGCGAAGGGACAGCACTGACGTCGTTTAATTCTACCAGAATTACTACTAATATAGAACATGTCTTTATCAACCGTCGAGCTTATTGAACCTCAGGCCACTCTTCTCCCCTGATATACGTACTGGTTCGTCTAAATACTAACGGTGCCTCGCATAACCTGGACAGCGGTGCCAGCCAGTTTGACCTTGTCGATCTTGGAGTCCTTCATGTCCACCTCGACTACAATATTGCTCTCCTTGCCCATCTCGACACCCTGCGTGATTTCGTACCTGCGGCTGGAAGTCCCCTGCTTGTCCCCCACGGTGCTGAGGAACGAGCTCAGGCAGCACGCCGCAGAACCGGTCGCTGGGTCCTCAAATTCGGGCAACATCATGCGCGTGCGAAGAGACACGACGGGCCGGCCATTTTGATCCTTGCTGGACCCTGTTTTGACGTAGTAGTATCTCCCGAGGACGCCGTTCTGCCAACCTTCATCCAGGAGCTTGTCGACGGGGAACTGCGTGCTACTATTCTCGACTTGAGCGAGGAGCGCCAGAGAGGGCAGCTCGATAAGGACGAAGCTCACGCCGTTGACGATGCTGAAGATGGGGGCGCTGAGCTCGACGTCCCGGATCTGTGCGTTGGACGTCAGGTCGCTCGCGGAAAGCGAGAGATCGCGGACATGTTTGGCGTGTAAGTGAATGTTATGCGGGATACTCGCCTGCGCGGCCTTGGCCCCTATCTGCTGTAGCGGAATCGGCCCTGCTTTGGTGACGAGAGTATCCACGCCCTGATTGAGCAGCGACACAGCGGTGCCCACGGTCGGGTGGCCCGCGAAGGCGATCTCGGCGAAGGGCAGGAAGATGTCGATATTGCGCTGCTTGTTAGTCGCTGGGTCGGCGACGTCGTGGACGAAGACGGTCTCCGACAGGTTGAACTCGCGGGCGATGGCTTGTTTCTGCTCCCGCGTGGGTTTAGGGCCCGAGGCGGGGATAGTGATGATGGCGAGGGGATTGCCGCGGAAGCGCGTCTCCGTGAAGACGTCGACGGTGGTGAAGGCAAGTTCCATGGTGATTTGGTTTGCGATGTATGACTCGGTGCGAGTGTGAGTTGAGGGTTGTAAGTGAGATGGATAGATGAAGGTGAATGGATGATACTATACTCTGTAGGCAATTTGTGATGGCCTGTGTTGAGACCAGGCGGTTACAACCGGCAGTGACCAGGCGGTTACAACCGGCAGTGACCAGGCGGTTACAACCGGCAGTGACCAGGCGGTTACAACCGGCACTAACCAGGGGCCCCTTTTAAGACGATCGGAGCTCCCACCTCACTTAATTACTAGTGATCCTGAATAGATTACTAGTGATTGCAACACCTATATCTCTAATTGACTTATTCAGCCCGAAGGGCGTTTTACTCAGTCAGAAAGAAGAGCATAAAACCTCTTCTGATTGGCCAATTAGCCTGGCCTGTGCTCAACTCGTGCGCGAATTGGTCGGCTGTTAACGCTACGAAATGAAGGCCTTGCTACTAACTACCCCCTGAGCGTTGACTGGGAAACTAGCGAGCTTGGCAAACTCTCCAAGAGCTTTTAGTTCTTTTTTTCTTCTCTGCAATTAATTTGGTGGGTTGCTAAGTATGATCCTGAATGAATAACCCCCGTGCTCTTTACTCTGTACACTAACCTACGTAGCGGCTGCTTTTCTTTTCTGTTAAATCTATTAAATCCATCAGATTGCTAACGGTATCTGGGTTTACATATTACCTCTGCAGCCAGCCTATCTCTTAAGATTCCCCAGTTACCTACCTTCGGAAAGCTATGCAGTTTCATCCCTAATCATTCAGACCTAATCTACCTCCCTCAAAAATAGCTTCCCTCTTAAGATCTATTACGTTATTGGACGTAAGCCATTACAAAGCCTCCCTGCCCGAGCAATATCTAGCAGTCTAGGTAGATAAGAGGTGGATATATATATAGCCAGATAGAGGATTATATACCCGAGGCAGTTCGAAACTGCCATACCTACAAGCAAGACCTACCCGAAGTCGAATTTCAAAGCATTAAGGACTCTATGAAGTTTACAAGAGATTGTGCTAGCTATAGGGCACGCCAAAGGGAACGTATAGCCAAATCCCAAGCTGCCGTCGCCGCCATGCAGAACATCGCCTTGAGGCAATCGCCACACAGAGCCACGAAGAGGACCGATTCTCTAGCTAACCTGACGCCTCCAGGGCGGACTGCGCCAAGGCTTGCGTCTGTGCACGGATCACGATCTCCTGCTACACCTGCTTTATTCTATGGCCTGGCGCCCGCACTCCAGGGACTGCCTAGACCTCTGCTGTAGCTATCTACTCCAAGCGCGGTAGAGGGAACTTCCCCTATCCCTCCTATACTTTGCCTGCTAATAGTAGTTCTAGGCACGCCGATTCCTCAAACGCCAATTCCTCAAGGCACTCTTCCTACGGCTCCTGTTATGCTAGGCATGCCTATACCACAGGAATCACTTCCTACGGCTCCTGTTATGCTAGGCACGCCTATACCATAGGAATTGCTTTCTACCGCGCCTTTATTACTGCTATAGGGTTATTGCTGCGGCTGTTATACACGTCAAGGCATATAGCCTCAAGAGCGACAGTTTAATTACAGTATTAATCCACCTTTTATAGAGGACCTTGACTTGCCTGCTCTTGGTGAGGAAGATTAGGCTCTTGTTCGGGAGTTCTATACCGCCCTAAATAACGACAAGATATATAGTTACCTTCATTACTAGGAGCATTAATTCGATATAAAGCAAAATAGCTTACAAATCTGCAGCCGCTATATTAGTCGAGATAGAAAGAGAACCCCTACCGAGCCCTACTTCTTTAGTGCTATAAATAACCTTAACTTTAGGGAAGTCCCCGGCAATCTACCTAATCTAATGATGGTTAAGGAGATGCTTATTACTAGGATTTATATATACATAAAGGTCCTATAGGTATATAGCGCTTAATATAAATACTACAGCTATATTATTCACTTTCTTTATAATATTAGTAGGCTATTTAAAGAGCTCCCAGTTCTATTTAAAGACCTAGATATTATACTCCTACAGCCTCCTAATATAGATAGCAACCCTTACTTTTAGTAGCAGTTTACTTATAATTTCTAGGTATGCTACTTATACCTGTTAATTTAGTTATATTACTTATAGCACTACTACCCGGGCTATTATAATATTATCATAAGCTAGAATTGCCTGTAATAGCTTCCTCTTAATAGTAGTATAATTGATTCTATTGTTAGCTAAGTAGCTAATATACCTAATAGCAAGGTTCCTCAAGGCCCTATTGAGGAGGTAGTAGAAGAGGATTCTTATAATACTAACATATCAGCTATTTCAAATTTATAGGTTACTAATACCAAATTAAACACCCTACAGTCCCGATTCCTTAATAGTACCCCTAACCCTAAGTATATAGCTAATCTTGAGTATATACCGCTTAGTATATAGGCTTAACACTAGATGCTATTACCTTCTATTTGCAGAACCCCTATTAACAAATTTAACTATTTCTAATTGCTATTAATACTTATATTTCCTACTTTCTACTCTAATAGTAAGATAGACTTTATAGAGCCTTGCCTATAGAGTATTATATACCAAGACTATCTTATATATATAATAAGATAGTAAAATGGATATTTTGCCTGCTATAAGATATAGCTTTTTATCGCTCTTAATATATTATTATATATATAGATTTAAAAGTAAAGTAACTACTTTATTAAGTAATATAAAGGCTGCACCCTGGGGCTCAGTGGTTAAGAGCTTGGGACCTTTTTTCAAGAGGTTGTTGGTTCGAATCCAGCCCAGGGCACAATCCTTGTAATTGTGCTGTGACTGCTAGCCTCGTCCCCTAGCAGAAAAGTCAGCCTGTACAGGGATTGAACCCGAGGATCCGACTCGCTAACCGGGCCTAAGGTAGCAAGCTAATTGGTCCCTAGCTTGCCTTTAGAAAGTGGACTAGCCAACCCACTATAAGAGGCTAACTACAGCGCATTCCTGTGCTTATAAATAGGTAACCCCCCCTCTACCCAGAGAAAATAGGAAGGTTGGAAGACTAGAAGGTTAAGGTATTAATAGCGAGGAATAGCTTGAGGTGTTGTTACCAGTTACAGACTCGAAGTTGCATTGTATGCTCTATAGTGACCTTATGGGTATATAGAGTGGTAGAAATAGAAGGAAGGGGTAGGGTTTTCATCTAATATTTAGGCATACGGTTTTTCCCTATTTGATAAAGTAGTAGGAGTTCTATAGGCCTTGATAAAGGTAAAATAGCGTATACTAAATAAATAAATAAATATAAAGGCTGCTGCTAAGCTTTTATATATATTAATCTAGAGAAAGTAATAGCTAAGCCTAATAAGCTAGAAGCTTAGATATTAATCTAATTAATTATATATTTATTTATTTATTTAGTATATGCTATTTTACCTTTATCAAGGCCTATAGAACTCCTACTACTTTATCGGATAGGGAAAAACCGTATGCCTAAATATTAGATGAAAACCCTACCCCTTCCTTCTATTTCTACCACTCTATATACCCATAAGGTCACTATAGAGCATACAATGCAACTTCAAGTCTATAACTGGTAACAACACCTCAAGCTATTCCTCGCTATTAATACCTTAACCTTCTAGTCTTCCAACCTTCCTATTTTCTCTGGGTAGAGGGGGGGTTACCTATTTATAAGCACAGGAATGCGCTGTAGTTAGCCTCTTATAGTAAGTTGGCCAGTCCACTTCCTAAAGGCAAGCTAGGGACCAATTAGCTTGCTACCTTAGGCCCGGTTAGCAAGTCGGATCCTTGGGTTCAATCCCTATACAGGCTGACTTTTCTGCTAGGGGATGAGGCTAGCAGTTACAGTATAATTACAAGGATTGTGCCCTAGGCTAGATTCGAACTAACAACCTCTTAAAAAAAGATCCCAAGCTCTTAACTACTGAGCCCCAGGGTTATTAATTATATATTAAGTTACTATAATTAGAGGTATCTAGCTATATTAATATAAGTAAAAAAAGAAATTAAAAGTATATATCTATAATTTAAGTAGGCCTAGTCTTTTTATTATTATAAATACAGCTAATTACTACTGGAAATTTCTATATTATTATATACCTTAATTCTATAAGTAATAAGTAGCTTTTAAAATAAGCTAGATAGTTTTATTCTAGTAACTACTATAAGATAATATTTATATTACTACTTACTACTTCTATAAGTATTATATACTATTTAGAACTATTATTTTAAAGTAGAAGTTTAATTTAATAAACTTTTAAAGTTACTATAAGTAGTAGAAAAGGAAGTTTAGTTATTATTATAGCCTTTATTAGTTAAATAGCTATTTAGATTTAAATTTTAATAATAATTAATTCTAAAAGTAATTTACTTATATTTAGGGATATTATATATTTACTATTAACCTAAAGCCTTAGTAAATATAAATATTTAAAGAAGAGAACTCTTTAATTCTTAATTTATTATAGTAGCTTCTTACTATTTAACTTCTATTAATAGTAGTTAACTATATATAACGTGCATGACAAGCATGTGCACCAAACAAGCATGTGCACCACTTTCACTTAACCTTTAAGATAAAACATAGCAAAAAAACACAACAAAGCATCTAATCAATTGAGACTAATCGCTATACTCCTCTCCAGACATCGCAACAACGATCTGACATGTTCTTGCGTTATGCCCGGTCTCGCCGCATGTTCCACAACGGCTTTCCTTCCGTCGCGCCGATCCTCTTTGACCACCACTTCTCGATGATTCGGCCACTACCTGCATACCAACATCCTTCTGATCAATTGCTTCCCTTCCCTCATCTACAGTCATCTTCCCTCTATTCTGCAGGCGGGTTCTTTTTGCTCTACGCCGCTTGCTAAGTACCTCATTTGACTGTCGAAGGATCTGGTTCTCAGACTTCAGTAATGCTATCTGATGCATTATTGCCTTTGTTCCCTTAGAAAATGACTCAAGTGCCTCAAGAATAGATGCCGGGGAGCTGCTCTGGTGCCTTCTAATTCGTCTTTTGAGGTATTCAGACTGAGAGCTAGCCTCAAGGACGGTCTTTGGGGTCTTTGGAACCCAAGGGTCGGGGAGGCTCGCCTCCTCCTCAACAGGTGTTGGAGTCCGTAACTGCACATCAAGCTTGGATATGACACTTTCCGGGTCTAAAGGAACAAGCCCGGCTCCTCTAAAACCTCCCTGAATATTGCCTTTTGTCATAGCGGCTTGGTGGGCAGCGTAAAAGGCCGGAAAGAACTCGGTCTTTGAAATGTGGGTTATAGAGCATCTAATCAAATGCTCTATTTCCCGACCGTACGCCTTTTTGAGTGGCCCAAAGCACCCGACGTCAAGAGGCTGGAGTAGATGAGACGAATGAGGTGGCATACAAAGCGTGATGATGTTGTTCTCCTCGCAATATGTCTCAAAGCCGGTCGAGTGGTGGCTTTCGTGCCCATCGAGGATCAGAAGGCAATAGCGACCATTTGATCGGGTCTTTGTGTGCTGATCAAAGTGCTTGATCCACTCAAGACCCGTCTCGTTGTCAGTCCAGCCATTTTTGGTCGTGGCGATGGCCCAATCGCCCGGGAGGTTGCTTTCTCGATACCAGCTGGCGAGGTGATATTGGCCCGCAACCACGATGAACGGCTGGATCGCCCAGCCTTCCGCATTGATAGCCTGGATGACCGTAACCCATTCCCGGTTTCCAGGCTGGACTGATTTCGGTCTTCCACGCCTTTCTGCGCCTGTGACGACCATTCCGCTTGCGATCATACCCATCATAAAGCCAGTCTCATCAAAGTTGTAAATATCAGCAAGGGTGATACCATATTTCGCGATTGTGTTCGCCACAAGCGTAAACCAGTCGCGAATAATAGTCGGATCTTCGCATTTAGCCCTCTGATAGTCATATTTGCGAAAAAAACGCGTCTTAAGCTCTGGGTGTCGCTTGACGAAGTTGGAAGCCCAGCGCTTGCCGACGGGTGACGCGTCGCGGTCAGCGAGCAGTCGGTTGGCCATTTCTTCCACACCACGCAGTCGCGGAGGAAATCCTCGCGAATCTAGGTCGAGAATGAACTGAATAATGATCTGTTCCTCTAGATTTGATAGTTTGCGTGATTTAGGGATCCAATCGCGTCGAGAAAGAATGCCATTCTGTCGGCGACGTAGGGCATAATAATCAATTTCATAGATCCTTGCGGCGCGTCTGAGACTTAATGATGAGTTATTTTGAAGAGCTTGAAGGGCAAGAAGGATATTTGCCTCTTTATTTGACTGTGACATGTTTTGTGGTTGAGAAACAATTGATCAGAGGGAAAGAGGAGAGATTGACGGATTTTTGGTGCACATGCTTGTTTGGTGCACATGCTTGTCATGCACGTTAATACTACTACTATAATAATTACTATATATAGCTTAATAAGTATATTAAGTAGGTAGAGTACTACTTTAGATTTTCTTATAAGTAGTATCTATTAGCCTCTCTTAATAAAGTTTTTTATTTTAAGTATTAAAGCTTTAAAGATAAGTAGAATAATAGCTAGATTAATTACTATAACTACTTACTTACTATTATATAGCTAGTTAATATAAATATCTTGCCCTATATAAGCTTATAGTAGGTAATTAATTATACAGTTAAATACTACTTTAAGTTAAAAAAGAAGAGTAAGTTTTTTATCTAAATTAAAAAG